CCTAATTAGTTTGATCATTTGCTGGCTAAAGGGAGGCATGGCGCCCTCAAGTTTCCTTAGGTAAATTACTTTTTACATATTTATTTTCTATTATAATTTAATAAATGTTTTTGTCAGTGTGACATACAAACAGCCATGAAAACATGACATGAAACAATTTGAACGTAGTACAGATTTTGAGTTGCTTTGGTTAGTGTGAGTATTGTATGTGTTTGTGTGCATGTGTGAGAGTGTGTCGTATAACTGTGTCATATATATCAATTTATGAAAAACTGTGACAAGAGGAATGTACAGATCGGTCCGAGAAGGAGGAGGTATCAATAATAAATAAATAAATATGTAAATAAATGGTAATAATAATAATATTGGTAAGTAGGTTCAATAACTACATAAATAAGTGCTAATAATAATAATAATAATAATATAAATAATGATAATTATGATAAAAAAAGTAAAATGAATAAGTAGATGAATCAATAAATAAATTAGTATATTTTATACATTTTATTTTTATCTTTTATAGTATCTCATCTTTAGCTCATGGGTGTCGTTGCCTGTTGTCGCCCACAGACCTTTAGGAGGGAGATGGCCCAATGTTATAGAATAATGTTCAGGGTCAAGTTCATCTGCAGGTTTTGTGTCGCTGACTTTTAACATTAAATACAAAACAAACTCAATGATCCTCATGGATAACCCAGTTATGATTATGGGATGGCCCCCATGCAGTGAATATACTAATAATCGCGTACATCAGAAAGTGTCCGACTCTTGTTTTTCCAGGAGCTGTGATCAGGTTTATGTTTAACTTAAGTAATATAATATAATATATAATATAACAAAGTTTTTCGAGTTGATACATCACAACCAAAATGACAAAAATTGGTTGCAACTTTCAACACTGAAACAAATGTTTTTTTTAAATTTGGAGAATAAATCGACTGTAATTAATTTTATTCGAAAGAATGTAAAAAATACAATAGCTAATGGCACTATTTATTTACTCCACTCACCAGAATTACAGTATGTTCAGAAGTGCATCAGCGGCCAATTCATTTATATTCATATCGGAAATGTTTTTCCAAGTGCAAAAATACATAATATCATTTCGATGACATACTGCACATCAAAATCCAAGAGAAAGAAGAAATCCTCCAATAGAGATATCACAGTCGTTCTCTTTATATATTCATACAATGTGCTGAAGACTTCTTTCAGTTCACCTGCAGTTGACCTCTCTGATTTGAATCGATTCATCTATTCGGAATTCAGCACTTTGCAGTTATGAAATAGAATTACAACTGTTGGTATTTTTTATCCATGTGTGGAGTATCATATTATCATATTATCAGTATCACTGTAACTATAACTGCTAGCAGTGTGTGTGTGTGTGTGTGTGATCAGATTTAAAGTTACGGACTTTAACCCAATAGATGGACACAATCATAAAGTTGCCATTCATTTGTACTATACTTATCCACACAAGATGCTGCAGAAAATGTAAAGTTCCTTTTAATTGTGTATAAATTGTTTTGCCACTCGATAACTTTCTCAGGTGACTCATGGGTCACGTGAGAAAACAGCTTTGGACCGTTTTAGTTAAACCCTTTGTTTTGAGCTGCAGCTTGAACACTGTTGTCTCTTCTGCACAGGGCTTCCACAGGAACGCATGCCCAGCTTTTGGTTATAAAACGCGCGTTGATAAATAAAAGTCCATCATGTGAAAGTGACAACATTAGAATGTCGCACAAACAAATGGTGCACTGTGTTGTAGTAACTCTATTCCATCACTGTATTCAGGTGGGCCCTCCTGTGGTGAACACTGTTGATTTTACATGAAAGACGCCTGTAGCAGTCTTAAGAAGTGCAGCATTGCAGTCACATGTGTGCACAGCGGGGTCTCCGCACATTCTTTTTGCCTGTGTGATCTTGTTTTAGATGCAAAAGCTCTTGTCAAGCTCTCATGTGATTTCCAGGCCCGCATTTACTCCTATGTGAGAGCATCAAACGCATTTAAAAGTGAAAAAGGGCTCCAAATATTTCCAACCTAATTTTTTCAAATATCAATATAGCCTGTTTTAGAACCCTCCTGCAGCTCTTTCTGAGCTCGGCGTCTTTGCTTATGTTTGTGTTTGTGTTTACGACTGAAATACTGATCCTAAATGACCAAAAAGCACCAGACACAGAATGGGATTTTTATTTGAAAATTTACACAAAACAACTTCCGCACACACACAGTTTTCTTGACCATTTCTTTCAGAAATGGGGGGCATTTTGAGACACTGTCTTTGGGGTAAATCTAGCTTTAAATGTTTGTATAAAATGAAGTTAAATGACAAGAAGTACCTTCTTGTGTGAAGAGCAGTTTGGCAGCAGTTGGACCTCTGTGTGTTCAGTATTTCACATACACCGTCATGCTTTTTAGGTGATGCTACATGCTTTCTTGTATACCATCTGTTACACCTACAGTGTTAACATGGGCCATCATACATAATAACAGGGTTATTGTTATGTTAAGTCACATGCTGATAGTCGGCAATGCTAACCTCAGCAGAATAGCCTGTTTCTCCGTGTTTTTTACGATACACACTGATTTTAATTTGTCCCTCATCCACTCGGTTACTCTCTTCCCGCCAAACGGCACTTCTTTTCTCAGTGACGAAAGACAGACGAAGAGGCCGCTCGGAGAAAAAAAAAAAGTCCAGAAGCGCTTCTCTCGTTCCCCCTCCTCTGCTCCCGCAGCTTTTTATGGTGAATTTGAGAGAAAACCAGAGAAGCGTCTCCCCCGTACACACTCCTCCGCACTCCCCTTCCATCCTCTCGCATCCTTTTCATTCACACGTTTCGTTATTCGCCCCGGTTTCTCAAGGTTATGAACACGCATGTGGGGAAATGTGTACACGCAGGAGACACGGGCAAATATAGCAGAGCATGTCTGAATCACTGGTTGAAAGAAGGTTGGATGAGTTTTAGATATTTTACCAAAAAGTCAAAAAAATGGTAGACTTTTGAAGGCTAAACTGAACGCCCTGTTGGGTGCAGAAGCCATGCAAGAATGCATTTGAAGACATTTTTATTTCTTCTTTCCTTTCATCCTGTTGTATATCTTTTTCTTCGCCGCACCTAACTATCAAATATCTTGAAAGCACAACATTTTATCCTAAAATGTGAGACTAAATTGTAACGAGAAGGATTAAAGCACATGTCAAATTCTCCATGTTTGGTGAGCGCCAACGACGTAAAAAGATGCTCGGAAATACTCTGTGTTGATTCCCTTTCACTGTACGTTTTTCAGGAATCTCATTAATTTTGGTAAATCTCACTGTCAGAAAACCGCATGTCGTTTGGCTGCAAGTGTAAGGATAGAAAGTCGTCTTCCTGGTTCTCGACTCCTTCCCGCAGCAACGTAAAGATGACTCAGACAATCGACATTGACCGTACTCTTTATAATGATCTCGGAACATTTTTCTTCAATAGCTGAAACTCCTCGCATTGACCATGGACCCTTTAGATTTAACATATTTGCATGAGGTGTAATGTAATGTAGTGAGGTCATCTGAACGAGCGTAAATCGATCAAAGATTATTGCCAAAGTTATCATGTATGCTAATGTTGAGGTTATCGGGTCAGACAGGTCGTGTAGATACCACATCATTGTCTACTCTCCATGTTAATGCTGAGGTTTCCAGCTATGAGAAGTAGTCACACTGTATAAGTGACCTCAGCATTAACATGATCATCTACAAACACACCGACACGTACACACATCTGCTCCTTTTCTCTTTCTACGCTCTCTGGAAGGTGATGTAGTTTCTCAGTTGGATCATAAATTACTGCTACACGAGCTGTTCGAGGGATTGCACACGTTTCATTGCACGCAGATTATTTACAAATTCCACATTTGTGCGTCCTGCAGGGTCTTGCGAGCATGGTGTTGGTTTTCATGAGGGAAAATGTCTCAGGAAGAAAATGATCTTGTGTTATAAATTTGATGAAACGTGCCCCATGAGTGACTGAATGGACCGCAATCTGCTGGCAAGTTTATTATCAACTCAACAAGTGACACAAGTTTCAGAATGGGTTGTCATGTCTGAGGGAAAAATGGTGTAAAGAACAGGATACATGATCTGTTATCAGAAATATACGTATGTCCCTGAATTCATGCAGTTGTTTAAATGCTGTCATTGCTGGTACAATATGCACACAGTTTTCCACATTTAGAAAGTGATGAAATCAAATTCAAGTGGCAGTTGGGAGGCAGTGGCAGTTCCTTAGGGTACTTCTATTTTGTGAGATTTTATACGTTAATGATTTGTACATTTTAACGTTGGCCATTAGTATTCAGCATAATATTATACGACTGAATATACAATTCATATTATAGATTTACTCCACTACATTTCAGAGGAAAATATTGTACTTTTTACTGCTTTGCATTCATGCTGCGTGAAGGAGAAAGACCGAGCATCACACAGGTTACAAAATAAAAATACTGCCGTTAATGTAAATGAATAATTCATCTTCCATTCTTTGGGGTGAGTTTTGTTATACTGTATGTTAATACAATTTTTTTCCCCACTGATAGAAAGCCAGGTAATATATTACGGAAAGATGCTAAATGTTGACGTAAATAATTAGTCTTCTCTTATTTAAACTGATTGATTACTCCCTGTCTTGTCTGTACTTAACAGCCGTGTGTGTGAGTGTGTGTGTGTGCGTAGGTTTTTGAAGTTGCTCACAGACTTGTGGACCTGCCAGCGGTCGTGTTTGAGGTTACGTGTGCATGTGTTATATTATTATATGTCATCATATAAAAATATATGATGACATAACAAAGCCAGAAAACAGTTTACTGGCCCGTTAAAAGTGCATACTATATGTGCATGTGTGTGTGTGTGTGTGGTGGGTGAGTGGGTGGGTGGGGCGGCAGGCTGATTAGAGGGTTCCCTGAACCTCATCATTTGTTGCCGTTTTCCTTCCTGTTTCATTCTCTCTCATTTCCTGTCAGCTGACTCAGCCGGAGAATCTTGATCTGGTAAACATCTACGCTACCGCTTAGGCACACACACACACGCACACACTTACAAAATGTACTGTAGCCACACAGCGATGTACGTTCACACATTCAACACTCATGTACAGACACGCATAACTGAGTAATGTGTTTTCTCACACATACACAGCTTTAGCTGCTTTATTTTTCACAGCCTATAAAAATCAGCATACATGTCTTTAAAAATAAAATACAGAAAAATAACTACAAAAAGGATGAGCGTGCCACAAAGGCAGTGGGACACTAAGAGAACTTACAAGTATACCAAAAAGAAGAGAGTGCACAGAGACTGGGGGAATTAGAGAGATACAACGCAAGACGGAGACATAAGAAGAAAGGTAGGACAAAGCTGGGCGCATGGTGAGATAGAGAGAGAATGAGAGACACGCAGAGACAGACAAGGACTGGCAGAGAGACGGAAAGAGAGATGGAGGAGGGGGGCAGAGAGATAAAGATAGCTGAAAGGAGGGAGATCCGTCAGCGTTTGTTTCCTCAGGATGTGGTTACCACGACGACGAAAAGACAGCGAGGCAACATCACTACTTGCTGGTCCCTTCTGACACCTGCAAGAGTGTGTGTGTGTGTGTGTGTGTGTGTGTTTGTGTGTGTGGGTGTGTGTGTGTGTGAAAAAGAGAGTGTATCTGTGTGAGCTTGGTTATGTGTGTGTGTCCATTTTACTTTAGATGTAAGACAGACCGTGTAAGTATGTGTGTGTGTGTGTGCGTGTGTCCATTTATTTGACTGTGTGTGTGTGTGTGTGCAGTCAAAGGAGAGCGAGTGAGACAGATAGGAAGGACTAAGTGAGGTGCTGAAAATCTGAAAGGGGGAAATAATTATTCAAACACTCGAGACGAAGCCAGAGTGAACGATGAAGACAATCAGAAGAAGAACCAGGACCAGAAAACATGAACAACAGAGGAGGAACATATTTGAAAAGGAAATTAAGCGCCAAGAACTGGTAAAAAAAACCCAACACTAACCCTCAGAACGTAGAGAGTGTATCTGTCTCTTCATCTCGTCTTCCTTCGTTCTTTCTCTTTCTGACTCACTCACCGTCCTATTTAGAGCAGAATGTGGTTTTGAGAAAGAGAAAAATAAAAACCAACAAAGACTTCAAGTCTGTACTCAAAGTGATTTTCTAGCAAGCTAACGTGTGTTTAATCTGACGGCAAACAAAAATCAAATGGCATCAGTCGAGGCAGACTTTGTAAGCATGCTCAACAGGAATACGCATGCTAAAAGCTGCTAATCTGAGCTTGATTCGGAATGAAAAATGGCGCCATTGCTTTGAACTGACAGCCTGCGTAGCCTGCGCTGTTAATTTCAGGTAATGACATTTCAGGATAATTCCTAGGACAAAGAACAGTTGGTAATGTGCATGGCTTATCAAATAAATGACCCCCAATACCTACAGGGGTCTGTACAAATTACTTATGGACAGGGGATTTTTGGAGACGTGACAACTCTTGCCAACTCTCGTTACTTGAATCCGGTGTTTGAATCCTGTCGGCATGTGCTCCCTAGCAAGATGTGCTACTTAGCGTTTCTGCACATATGGGGAGCATTTTTCTCGATAAGGCATACTGGTCTGTATACGACGTTCCCTTTGGAGGGGCTCACAGCTGTGACTTCAGTGTGTGAGCTCATCTAAACACTATGGACGCCTCAAGTTTGGTAACAAGGGCTAGTCTGTGTTTAGTACTTGAGCTAAAGTGAACTAATGTTGTGGCTGTTCATTTATAATTACACTGTGTTTCTGTTTGTCTCATGGAGGCACTCTAGCTACACCCAGCGAGCCATCATGGACGACCCTTCATCTACCCAATCCTTCCCCAACCTCCACCACCATCGCCACCGCCCATCCTTTCACCTCACCCTGCCCAGCCTTCAAAGCCCTGAAGTGGGATACCAGTCCTCTCAGCCCAACCTGGACCCTCAGGAGCCATATGGAAGTAGAGGGGAAGACTCCACAAACTCCTTCCCAACTTCAAGCACCTCCTCTGGGGAAAGAAGGGAGAGCGGTGGAGGTGACAGAGGCTTCCCAAACACAAGCGGTAGCTGTTTGGACGGAGATGCTAACTTGGGAGGCCATCTTGACGAAGAAAGCGGGATAGGCAGCCATTTTTCTGACACTTGGTATGGTGGTAGCAAAAAAGAGGAGGCTTGGGAGGACGGGGAGAATAGTGAAAGCGCTGCAGACAATATTTATAGAAGAGGTGATTGCTACAGTAACGCAAATGATGTTTTTTACACCGTGAATTGTGGCAGTGAGGAGGGAGTCAGGCGTAAACTCAGAGCGAACTACAATAATTATACACATGTTAGCGGCGAGGCTAAAGGCGATACAGTTTACAACAGGGAGGCTAACGTTGGCCACTTTACTAAGCAAACTACTTCTTACGCCAGAACTGCGACGGGGAGCTTCAGTGACAGCAGCATTGACTATTCAAGAGTGAGTGATAATTATTTAGGAAGAGAAGAGGATTACGGGTCTAGCTGTGGCTCAGGTGAGGATCAGCTTCAACCAGCAGAGGTCGAGGGACCCTGGCTCAGTGCCTCTCCCTCCAGTCAGACCGGAGAGGCCAGGTGGAGAGGAACAGCGGACGCCATCAGTTTTGCCTCAGGGTGCCTACCGCAGAGATCGCCCATCGGCGTGAGCGGCGTGGCGTACACTCAGAAACTGGACTCCTTCTCTGAGGCTTTCCTCTCCCACCGAAAGAGACGATTCCCGATGATTCCCGGCGGAGATTATCCTGGACAGTTCTGGGAATTCGGCGTTGGGAGAGGGGAAAGCCCTGGATTGGTCAATTCAAGGCACAGCTGCGCTTTCGATTCAGACTCCTACCTGCCTCCCTCCTCCTCTTCCCCACCCACTCACCCCTCTCTCCTGTCCTTCCCCTCTCCCCCCACATCATCTCACATCATGTCTTCAGTTCTTAGTCCTCCTCCCACACCTCTGCCTCCTCCTTCCCACTCACCCTCCAAAATGGACTCTCCCGTTGCATTTGGGGGCACAGGGCATTCAGTGTCCCAGGGAGGTGAACCGCTGGGTGCGCTCCAGTTTTTCGCTTCGCACCTTCAGTCTCTCCCATCCGTCCATTCCTCCGGGATGGTATGGAAGTTTCCACCGCTGACGCACAGCTTCCCACAGTCAGCAGGCAACCCCGGCATCATCGAGGGCAACCTGAGACCTTCTCATGGCACTGACTATGGCAACATCATAGGTAAGGCATGGCGTGCATTTTTGTGCATGAACATATGACAGTAAATTTTATCCTGAGGCTGTCACAACTTTTTGAGAAAGGAGAAAACAACCTGAAATGATTTAAATGAACTTAATTTCCCCCCTTGGACAAAAAAAAACCACAAGTTTAAACCCACATGTATAATTTACGGGACATGTGGGTTTTTCGTAGGTGAGCGACACATTTCCTATTTCCCGTATGCAAATTCCATTTTCACTTTTCACATTTTGCAACAGACATCTTTGCACTATTTTACACCATGTGAAGAACATTTTTTTCTTCACATTTGATGACCAGCATACAGTCCAGAATGTATGTGCGCTTTGAGTTCATATGTGGATTTTCACAAGAATTGATTTGTGTTTCCAAATAAGAAATTGATTCTGTCAGTGCGTGGCGTAACACTTTTCTGTCTGCACCGATAACAGTGATGTTTCTGTCTTGTTTTGTCTGACTGTCTGTCATACTCAAAATGATCAAGCAGTTCAACAGTTCATCATGGACCATTGACTTCCACTGTTTATTGTCCTTCCCCCTCTCATTTTCCCAGCCTCCCACGTTCAGTCTCCAGAAGCGGCATTCCTCTCTTCCACATCCCATCCATCATCCCTCCATCCATCCAGAGCCCTCTGTCCCTCCAGCACTCCATCCCTTCATCCATCCTTGCATCTTCCCTCTCGTCCAACTCACTTTTCCAGCCAACATTATGAGGCAGCAGAAAAGATTGCCCCATACATTGTGACCCAGAATGTAAAGAATGAACAAACCAATCTGAACCAATCACAGCTACAGGTAAAGTTTTTTTTAACCACTGGAAACAATTTGAGCAAATTTAAAAAACGTTTGTCATTTGGGAATATGTGCTTGTCTATTTCCTCCTGGTGAGTTTGGGACAAGAAAAGTTATAGCAAGTTTGTGTTTATGCATCTAGGATAGGTAGATCCATTATGGGTTAAAACCATAGATAATCTGGTTGCTACATTTAAGAGAAGAAAACCTTCAGTTGACGCATTTTGTCGATTTTTATTTGATTTTATTGATTTTAGCCACAAAACAACATTTTGTTGTACTTTGGTTTATTATCCAACAACTAATTGGTGTTTAGAGCTAAGTAGTAAATCTTAGCATGCTAATACGCTAAACTAAGATGGTGAATATGGTAAACAATTCACCTTACAGAAGCCCAAAACGGACAATTTTCAAAAAATATATTATACCGCCATCTAGATAACGGTATTCCTTTTTAATACCATCATCTCGATAACATCATTCTAAAAAAGTCTAGGGTTTCCGTAATACCTGCTAAACAGCATGTTAGCATTGTCTTTGTTATCAGTGTGTTAGCATACTGTCTTTAGCCCTGTGCTAGTCCTGTGCCCAAGTACAGCCTCACAGAGCTGCTACCATGGCTTTAGACTCTTTTATCTCTTTTTGTTTCGCTTTTATCTATAGTAGTCCGGAAGGACTATTCTTTTAACTGCTGGAACCTCTAGATTTTATTGGAAGTATCCTGGGCCAAAGTCATCTGTTAATGTAAAAACAAGACAAGCTCTTCTTCATGAACAACCACTGCATCTCAGAAGCCACATTTTCACAGTGGGGTTGCTAGTTTGGCACAGTATCGTCACTCTTCCGTCAACAGAGACTAGGTTTTGAGGGGGGGTAACACTCGCTACAGCTGGAGAAGCTGTGCATAAGCGGTGGGCTGACACGTAAATGGTTGTTTGTCGAAAGATTACGTTAGCTCCAACTGCATTTTGGTTTCTAAAACCACAGTCTTCACCTTGGTTTGTATTTTTAGACTCGTTGAATGGTTGTAGTGTATACATGTGACAGATTTGGAGTTGGTGAAAGGCATGTTATTCACCTTCAACAGAGCTAGGTAAGCTTCTTATGGACCTATAGCTGTATTTGATGCACAGAAATGAAATGGAAAAGTGGCTATCAGTGTGGCAAATGCAAACGACCAATACTTTTTTAGGTCGCTGACTAAATACTTCAGCTTTGAGAACGTTAATTGTTCATACCCTACATTTTGCTTTCTCACTTTTGTCTTTCCTTGTGCACCTACAGCAACAAGCCACTCCAATCTTCACTGGAACTCCTTTTCCCAGTATCCTTCACTCCAGCAGAGGTCAGAAGAGGGGTCTGTACACTCCTCGACCGCTCCTCAATCCGGTTCGTAGGGGGACGGGTCTCTACTCCTCCATATCATCTCTCAATCACAGAGAGGAGGAAACCACATGTGGAGCAGAGGAAGAGGAGTGTGTTGTGTTACCGTGAGTAAAATGTTGCTTTAAATCTTGATTGCTTATTACCTTAGCAATGGTTAGCATGATATCTCAAAAACAGGGTGAAGAGTTAAGCTATGGGCCAAGGAATTTTGTTCACGTTTTTTTTGTTTTAGATCTGGATCCATGGTATTGGTTATTACCCTTCCCACCCTCACCCTTTCCTTCTCTCCAGGTATGTCAACGTGGGTGATGATTTCCAGGCAGAGCTTCCTCCATGCTTTGTGGATGTGGACGGGTCAAGGGTGTGGTCACCGGAGGAGGACTCTCCTAGGGAACAGTTGCTCTGGAAACCGTGGGACAAGCTGGAGGAGGCTACCAACTTACAAGACCAAGGTAAACAGCATGCTAAAATATTTATTTACAACCCAAAACTTTTTTAACAGAACAGCTTTGGAGTAATAATTGCACAGAAAATATTCTAGTGTACCTATAATAACGTGTATGAGGGAGACATTTTTAATTGGCCCCAGAAGGAAGATAGACCCTGAAAATATAAACAAAAGTCAGTTCATTGTTCATTGTTCATTGCTCCCTGCTGAAAAGGCTCATATATGTGTATGTGTGTGTGTGTGTGTGTGTGTGTGTGTGTGTGTGTGTGT